GGGTGGGTGGGGGTGGGGTAGGGTCGTTCATCTTTGTAATATAGCAAAGCTCAATATTTACAATTACTCTACATTGTCCCGTTACAACGCCTGCAGATGATAATACGTGTTATCAGCTTATCTCACCTTTTGTCTAGGTGACCACTATTGTGACGCCATCGATCAGATTTTGACATTTTTTTGACAAACTGACGTTAAAAGAGTTAAATGACTGAATAATCGGCATTCTCCCGGATAGAAAAGTTATAATCCTTTTTATGATCTAGATCTGTACTTTTTATATAAACGGAGGGGCATTTTTTCTGGACTACGTCATACAGTTTTGCTTTCATGAAGTGAATCACGATTTCTCCTTAGAACTTTTTTTCTTCATATACTGCAACCTTACTGCTATCTGCTCGTGAGATATACATAAAACAATCTTCATAAAGTTCCCACAGAGCTTCATTTTTGCTGTTGGTTGTGTTTGGTTGTATCTTAATTTTCTTAATTTTTTAACAAGTTAGAACAGGTTATTTAGTAGTCATGATGATCTCCTTTACTATCACTTTCTAAGGTGCGAACAGTTTAGTTCCTCAGAAATATAAAGGAACAATTTTGAATTATAACTAAATAGTTATTTATTTTGTCGTATCGTGGTATGCAAATATTTCACTCAGCCACGGTTTTGGCAAAAGACAAGGGGTCTGCTTTTTTCAAACCATTTATACCTACATTATTTGTGTACAAAGTAGGTTTAAACACACATATCAATTTGATTAATATCCTTAAGGAGATACGTGGTAACAGGATTTTACTTATGTATATTATAACAGGTCATAAGTAGTTAAGTTATTTGTGTGACCCCTAGCATCACCGAGGAGTTTTATCAGGACGAAAAAGCTGTATGAAGCAGCGACTATAATATACTGTGTCTAATACTAAATTTAAAAATTGCAATCAATCGTGAGTTTAACGTTCGTCCACCTTGCAGGAAATGAACAGAAAGAAAAGGTCAAAGAGAAGGACAACGGAAAGCTCTTATTGGAAGACGATACTACTTTGCCTAGCAATCCGCAGATTGTTCCTTCTGCAGGTAAATACGACAAAACCTCCTATTTCCCGTTCTTTAACGGTCATTTATCTCATCTGCATCCACTTATTACATCAATATGCTCCAAACTGTAAGTATGGAAGTTCATCTGTGTTGGTACTGACTATTCTGATGGTTTTCGTTAAACTTATGGTCGCAACACAAGACTAAGCTCCTTAATATTTTGACCATTACTGCGGGAATATTAAGCAGGGCTGAGGCTTATAAGGAGTAGCTATTTTGAACGTGGGATCCAGGGGACAATATGTATTCGCCTGTACCAGCCAACAATTACCCAGAACGGGATGGTGTACATTCATGTCTCGATCCTGAGAGCACGTGTCCGAACGGTCACGGGGCCCAATGCAACAACACCTGGTATGTTAAGGAATGTAGTCTTTTGTTGCAAACAAAAGTTACAAAGTTCCCCAGGACGCTCGAATTTGGTCTAAAATCCGAAAGGTTAACCAGCATATAATACTAACACGTGCTTAGTTTAAAAAAACAAACAATTCAAGTGTAAATAATTGATGACAAATTAATTTGTATCTTGAGCCGTTAAGATTTGTTTGCGTAATATTTATTTTGAAATAAATGTTTACTTTTAATGTGTAAGCATATATATGACCATACAAATCGTGTGATCCCTAGCATCATTGATGAGTCTTAGAAGGACAAAAAAACTGTATGATTCAGGGGCTTTGATATACTGTACCTATTACTAAATTTTCAAAAGTGCAATCCCTGTGTGTGTAACGTACATTCATTTTACAGGAAATAAACAAAAAGAAAAAGTCAAAGAAAAGGTCAAAGAGAGGGACAGAGAAAGGGTGATTTTGGCAGACGATACATCTTTGCCTGACAATCCGCAGATTGTTCCCTCTGCAGGTAAATACGAAAAAAAATCGTTTTCCTTTCTGTAGTGGTCATTTATCTTAGCTACATCCACTTAACACATAACACGCTACAAACTGTAAGTATGAAAGTTCATCTGTGATGGTACTGACAATTCTGATGTTATTTGTAACTTTGTTCGCATCACAAGACTACATTCCTTAATTTTTTGACCATTACTGTGGCCTTCTGAAGTAGGATTGAGACTTACCAGGAGTAATTATTTTGAACATGAGATCCAGGAGGCCGTAAATATTCGCCTGTAACACCCGGCCATTTACCAGGGCGGGTTGATGTGCATTTGTGACTCGATTCTGAGATCAGGTGTCCGAAAGGTCGCGGGACTCAAGGTAACTGCACCTGGCGAGTCTTAAACTGAGTTCCGCGAAATTTTCGGTAGAAATATTAAGGATTGAAGTCTTATGTTGCAAAAAAAAAAAAAATCATCAGAACGCTCGAATTTGCACTACTATTTGAATGGATAGCCAGCTTTAGCAATTACATATGCTTAATCGCTCATAACACATGTTCGAAACACACTGAAGTTAATAATACAGATCAAAGTGTAAATAACGTATGACAAATCTGTTTCTGTGTAAGGCAGTTTAGTGCTGTTTTACGTATTACTTATTTTGAATAAACTGTGTATATATTTTTTATTGTGACCATAAAAAACCTTGTGACCACTAGCATCGCTTATGAGTTTTAGAAGGACGAACAAGCTGTATGATGCAGCTGCTTTAGTATACTGTGTTTATTACTAAATTTCATAAGTGCAATTAACTGTGAGTTTAACGTACATCTATCTTGTAGGAAATGAACAAAAAGAAAAGATCAAAGAAAAGGTCAAAGAGAGGGACAGAGAAAATATGTTTTCTGTAGATGATACTTCTTTGCCTGGCAATGTTTCTGCAGGTAAATACGACCAAAACGTCTTGTTTTCCCTTCTGTAGCGGTCATTCATCTAAGCTACACCCAGCTAACATTGTTGTAGCTCACTGCAGTTTATAAGGCCAAGTAAAGCGTAAAAAACATGATGATGTTTTTTTTTCTATCTTCAGCTGCTTAGTGCATTTTCACGTATTATTTATTTTAAAATAACTGTTATTATCTTAAGCGTGTTAGCATATACATTACCATGTATTCTTAATTGATTAATATTTGACAAATGTGTGCCATTTTATCGATTTATTTTGGTTTGGGAAAATTTGGAGAGAAAAGGTTTCATTCACTTTCTCGAAAGCAGAAATACAAATTTCCTCCCTTAAAAGTAATTCTCAACTTTCTAACGAAATGCTGCTTCAGATTCTCCTCCCCAGTGAGGAGGGTAAAGGGTTTGCATTATCATATCCTTTGGTTAGGGAAAGGCCATATTAATCTCACACATGTGTATCATATTGTAAATGTATATCGTGCATATATAAAGGGAGGAGAACAAAATAATGACTCTATAATATATTCTACTAGTCCTGGATTCGATATTCTTTAAACAGATATATTTCATAACATCATTTGTATACTCTTTTTGCAATCGTGTATTAAAATCGTTACGTTAGAGTATGTGTATGCTGCCTAAGTTTGGATAGAGCTAAAATTTAAGTCTAAGTTTAACGAAGTATATTCGCATTTTTAAATATTTTATGAAATCAGCGAAAAAAATACCTTTTGCAATTTTTACTTAATGGTTTCAGAAAAACGATTTTTCATTCTGACATTTCAATACAATTGAAACGTTTCATATTCTATTACATTTACATTGTGATATTGATGTAGCGATTATTGTTTGTGTTTTTCCAGCAGATACTGAACAACACAAAACTGACTCTGTAAGCATTGTGGCTTCGGATGACAATGTTACCAACATTGAACATGTCGGCATGCCAGCTTTGACAGGTATTTATCCATGCATAAACACAATACAATTGTATTTTTCAAGAAAGTTAACTTTAAGACTGTGCATAAAAAAGTTTAACTGACCTTTTAAATTCTCATTTCTAATATTTTCATTTGAAATATTTTCATATCGAATATTTTCAATCGAATATTTTCATATCGAATATTTTCATTAAAAGCAAATGTCGACCGGGTGAATAACTGCGATGAATCCTAGTCATGTATTTTTTCATAATATGTAATTAGGGTAAAAATAAATGCAAAAGAAAATGATGGCGACTTTGGCAAAAGTTTACATTTTGGTTCATTTCTATACATTTTGCTATACAATACAAACATGTGTTGCATATTTCAATCATACTGCTGTATTAGATTATGTTTACATAAGTGGTTGTCATAGCACATTAATGATTAAAATTATACAATTTTCTTTCGCGTGTGCAATTTGACATTGGCTTAAACATGAAGCTGATATCATACTTGTGGTCCTTATCTTCCAGTTGATGCTGATGTATGTTAAACGTAACCCCGCTTAACAACTCTTTTTTGTCCAAGAAAAGTCCCGACAAGCCTTCTTGTTTACAACTGCTATATGTAGAGGCTTTATGCAGGGTGGTTTGTTAGGACATAGATCATGCTCTGACATGCATTTAGGCATGAATATGCAGTGCTATTGAGTATCATTTGTTGCTTCGTTGTCGATATGATGGTCTGTTATATACACTGTATTTTTTTAGAATCAACATTAATTTATACTAAAAAACATTTTTTTAGATTGTTAATTTGATATATTTTATTTTCAAAATAGGCAATTTTGGACTCTGTTTCTCCGATTTATTCAAGCCCTTTATCGGTCTATGTTCGCCATGCGTTGAAGTGTGTATAATAAGTTAGGCGTTTTACATGTTTCTAACGAGATATCAATATTATTTTAAAGCACACACACGCTCTTATTCACGCTCAACGTCAATTAATACTTATTTAGCAGATCGATGCAAGGGAAACAACTCACAATTTCTATCGGACTAAATGCTGAAGGTACCAACCGACAGATCTTAACTCAAAGCTGGGACCTCCGAACTCAGGAGAGGCTCAACAAACTTAACTATTTAGTCATCAGCGATTCACTCAGAACAGTTTTGCAAAAACAAAATAACAACGTACAAAATATAAAGTATTGTTTTACTTTCTCTCACCTAATGTAGATATTTATATACAATATTTTGTTTTTCTATTTCACAGAAAAGCAGAAGCAACATGTGGTCATAATTAGCAAAGACAGCCCTGTGATAGTTGGAGATCATACAACAGTGGTTTACAGCAGCCCAGGACGCGGAGGTATTTATTGATTTCTGAAAAAATGCCCTTGACATTACAAATATCTCATAACCAATTAAACTACCAATCGAAATTAGCATTTAAAGAACGGTTCTTTTCAAACGACAATGTTATCTTAGGTAATATTCACCTACATTTTAATGTGAAGGGACATAAATATTGGTTTCCCGTTGAATGTAGTATGTATTTTACGAGTCTGGCAGAATACCGGTATTTTTAGAGGTACGAAGTGCAATTAAAAATATCCAAATATTTTGCGATAAGAGTGAAACATATATTTAATATCTAAGATGTTTTAAGGGAAATCTATCACATTTTCAAATGTATAACATGATAAAATCAAATACAACTACAGAAATAATACTCCATTAATAAAGCGCGGAATACAATAACGTTAACTTTTGTCGATATTATAATGACGTCACGCTTGACAACAATGCTGCGCGCCATTTTAATTGGGCAAACAATTCTACCGTTTTCTGCTTTATATTTTTTTGTATTTGCTTCCACGTGCTACTTAGTTAAATATCAATTGATTGTGTGTTTTACACTCAGTTATGTTTCTATCGCTTCATCTGCATCTTAATATATAATTGGTGGCTTTGAACGAAGTGAATGGAAAGTGACTCTCTGATTGGTCAATATCTAAGTCGATTTTATGTTAATGTGAAAATAACGAATGTCACTTTTGATACCTATCACAGTGTGAAAAAGATGATTTTACAAGTTGATAGAAAAGCTGATATAAATGGTAAAATGTTGCAAACCGTTATGATTTATCAATGAATATTAAATACATCATTATGTTATGTGTATTGTTCTCCGCAGAACTGCAATTTCAAATGCCTCATCTTTCAATGCTTTTTCTGCAGCGCCATTATTATTATTATGTTAATATTCTCACAGATGAAGGAGAAGAAAGTATTAGGAAGAAACTGTATGATATTATGGAGACTAAAGGAGCAGTAGGAAGGAACGCTAAGAAGAACAAGATGAATCTACAGACGCTTGAATCATGCTTTCATCGAAGAAATGGTAAACATTTTGAAAGTATGTATGGCAAGGCTCTGTTAACCTATTTGCATCAGTCCACTGATTACTTCACTCTGACAAAGCAAAGTGGTCTGTGGTTTGCTCATGTTGAAGAAAAACTCAAAAATACATCCCAAGAATGTACCCAAACTCACGAAGCTGGCGAAGTTTCGAAAGTTAATCGCATGAAATCTAGCAACAAACGTAGTAAAAAAACAGAAACAAATACAACTTCGAGTATTCCAACATTCACAAGACCAACGCATGACCATACAAAAACAAAGACATACATACAAAACAAATGCACACAGTTTGGTGACTTTTTAGACTTCGTAGGACATTTTCGTGACGAAAATTATCTGCTTTTGATCTCAAAAACGGATTTCATAAAACACGAAGAAGCTCTATCGCATATACCTTGGCTTTGTGTTTTTGATTTTGATGCCAACAGTTTTACGGAGGGTTTGTACTTCAGGAATGAAGCATTGTTTCGGGAAAATCGAGCAGTGTACCCTTGTACCTGGTTTGACCCTCCAAGTATACAGACATTTGGGACCGAGTGGTGTTTTATTTCAGGTTCAACCCATAGGCCGGGAAGCAGCACGCCAGAATGTTTCAAAAAGTGGTACAAGCATATACAGGGAGCTTTCGAAAAGCATATAAAAGATATCAATAAATTGCTAGACACTGTTAAACAACTGACGGTAATTGCATTTTGGCCAAGAGATCAAGACACTAGTAAAAAGTTTCAAAAAATTATATCTGTATTGCATGAGTCCGTTCAGCCTTTTCCTCAAGTAGTTGTTGTTTCTGATAATCCAACCCAAGAAAACATAACGCATATAGATTTTATAGAACCTGACTATCATCTCAAGGAAAAGCTTGAACACGTTTTCCATGATCTGGCAGCAAAAGTAGGACAAAAACGTAATCCTAAACAATCAACCTATCGGTTACCAACAGCTTCTGGCTCCTGTGCTACTTCTATTGACAGTACACAAGCAGCTTCATTCAGAGAGAGCATGCAAGTTCTGTACCTTGATAATCCTTGTCAAACCGATCTTCCAGATCTGTTTGCGTCCGAAGAACAAGAAAAGTTATTCTTTCGAGGCGGCAACTTAAGCTGGGAGGCCTACTACAACAACAGTCCAGAACATTTCTACGTTCCTCGAGACATTTTGCCACTAATTGTGGATGACATACGCTCAGCTTTTATTGATGGGATGAAATCGGGAGAAATCACGATATTCCATGCACCTGGTGCTGGCGGTACAACTCTTGGTCAGAACATTCTTTGGCAGTTACATGCATTAACACCTTGTGTCCAAGTAAGATCTGACACTTTGGTAACTCCAAAGCAAGCTGCAAATCACATAACTAAACTTTACCAAGCAACGCATCTTCCTATTCTCGTTCTATTTGATGAGCTGAATGACACAACCTTTGAAAATATTCGGGGAAAATTGAAAGATATTTGCGTGATTTTCCTCAATTTGAAACGTGTTTCTGTGATAGAAAGGAAATTGAAAAAACATGAATACTTCCTTTCAGGTGCGCTGTCTGCAAATGAAGCAAAACGTATGGGACCAAAATTTACCCGGTGTTGTGAGGGTGATAGCGAGAAAAAGGATCAGATCCAAAAACTAGTTGATGACATTGTTGCAGGTCATAAACACCATCTCATAGAGTTTGGTTTGGTGACGTATCTACATGAGTTTATAGGAGTAGCTGCATACGTGTCTGAGTACCTTAAATTGGATGAACAAAACAAAGAGCTCGAGAAAAGCCGAAGAGTACTTGGGTACCTGTCACTTGTTCAATTTTTTGGTCAAGGAATCATGCCTTGTCAGCTCTTTGGAACAATGCTAGGGAAGTCACTAGAGTTCACGTTCAGGTATGACAATTTTCCACCAACAGTAAAAGAATTCACGGTACCCGTCGAGTCTGATTTTACTCGCAACAGTGTCCGCATTTGCCACTATTTGATAGCAAAGGAAATTCTAGATCAGGTTCTCTCAAAAGCACCCACTACCGACAAGGGTCAAGATTTGAGCGAGTTGGCAAAACAAAACCTCCAATCCTTTGTGTTGAAGTTCATTGAAGATCTAAAAATTAGACAAGAGCAGTTAGGTAACATGTCAAGGACAGTATTTGATATAATATTACAAATTTTCATCTACCGGGAAAATCATTCTACTCACAGTCAGCAAAGAGAAATTCGAACAAAGTTTTCACGACTTATAGAAAGTATACCATCCGAGCAACCTTTTACTGAACGTCTCCAAGTTATGGAAACCCTAGCAGAATCATTTCCCGGTAGTCCAAGTCTTTGGGCACATTTTGGCCGAGCGTTAACAATACTTCGTCCCACCGAAAGAGAAAAGACAGAAACTTATTTTCAAAAAGCAATTTCAGGTTGCAATGAAGGAAAAAATCTCACAATCATGGATGATGACGAGAGTGATACTGTATTGAGCTACGTATATCACATGTATGGAATATTTTACCTCAAACAGATACGTACAGATATAGCACAGTACGTTTCCTCCAGTGAGATGCAATTTCAACATACCGTGAGCAAAATAATCTTTTTGGCAACTACTGCATGCGAATCATTTGAGAACTCACGGAAACTTCGTTATGCAGGTTTCCAGGAGTCATTGGGATGTTTTGGAATGATTGACGTACGTCTGGCAATATGTGAATTCATTAAACGGCATTATAGATTTGTTACGATCAAAGATCTACTTAATATGTCGCAAAATAGCGAAATGACATCATTTGTTGAGAAAAGTTTATCGCTTATTCAACAACTGTTTATGCAATGTTATAACGTTGTTGACCGTTCTGAAATTGGTGATAATTTCTACAAGAAAATAACGTTGTACAACAGTCTTTTCAAAGGGATGGTTTCAAACACTTACATGGATATGATTACTGTTCCCGAATCCGTCGATACCAGAGGTGTCGTAGTTGCAGCAATCAAACTGAAGTACGGGGAAGATGATCGGTTGGGGACAGTCGAAGATATCACAGATGAAACCGACATCAAACGCGTGATATCACTTCTGGAACAGAATTTTGATGATATTAAAAAATTGGGCGTGTTGCACTCTAAAACAGGCATAGACCATGATTTCCTTGACTGGATCCATGCGATTCGACTTGTAAATCAGCGAAAGCTTTACGCAGTTGAAGACGTCCTAGTAAAAGTTCGTTTCTGGTTCAATTCTGTTCGTAGTCCGTACTCCCGTTTGTATCTTTTCATCCTACTCTTTGTGTATGCCTTTCATCCACATGGTCCATGCAAAAGAGACATTCTGAAAGAAGCTATCGAAATAAAGGAAGATACAGATTGGAACCCAGCGGCTCAGACTCTGTCTAATCCAAAGAGACCAAGAGAATGGCTTAGTAAAGAACTAGGAGTCAGATGTCTTCTTCCAGGAAGTCAGAAGAATATCATCGATGATGAGGATGCTAAATACCACCTCTTAGTGTTAAAGGGAACAATTCGGCCCCCTAACACATATAGAAATGATGGCATCATAGACATGGATATAAAGGGCAACATCAACGTTCCAGTGGTAGTCCACTTCAGTCCTATCCGCACAAAAGGAAAACTTGTAGGTTTATCACACGCGGGCAGACGCGTCGAGTTTATGTTAGCGTTCACACCACTATCTGGATTAGAAGCCTACAACGTGACAGAGTTGAAGAAATCTTCTTGCAAAACCTGTGGATCCAAGGTTGAGATTGTCAGTGTAGAAAAGAGTAACACTTGCAAATGCGGTGAAGTTGTTGAAAATGAATTCCCTATTTCCTGATTAAAAGGAAACATATCTACAGGACAAATGACGGCAAGTGTGATGCTTTCAAACATACATTGTATACAAGTGGAATGCTTATACATCTCTTTACGAAAAATATACTAGTTTTCCGCTTTTCAATCCACTCATCACGACAATTGCATTGACATATGCAGATATTACAATAAAAAATGCATACAATCATTACCATCTTGTATATTTCATTTGATTTAAATAAAGATTTTTCGAGTTCATGAGTTTGGGAACATTATAGGTGGATGATTCGGGTTTATTTTTGTTTGTAACATTTTATATAGAAATACATTTCCGTCGTTTCTAGAACGATTTCAAGTGTTAAAGGAAGCCAACCAAAAGCATCCTGACTGAGATGATGTAAATACTTACTGAGTAGATGGCCGGTTAAGTGATATATGAAACATTACAAAATGATTTTAAATATACATTGTAAGAACGTTCGAATCACATTTGCTCTAATAACCTGTGGGAAGGTTCTTGTAACTTGAAAAAGTACAATTGTATTTATGTACTGTAATTAAATTTGTAACATATTATCCACAGTGTCATATGCATATTTGTTTGTATATAGTGTCCATTCATATCGTAAGCGTACTTTCATCGGTGTGAATACAGTTCAAATGCAGGCATTATTGTTCGTCTTTATTACATATATATAAATTATTCAAATTATTCATCCAAAATAAATGATGAACGCAGTTGCAATTCCAGGTCAAATGTATGTAATATTTCAGAGATTAAACACAATCATTGGCTACATATATATTTTTTTTATAAAACTTACCTTTCTATAACAATGAATTGCGCCAGTACGTGAATTGAATCAGTGTTTTTAAAAAAAAAAAATATACAAATAATATTGCTCTGGTAAACATTGTCTATCCACTTAACAAGGGGCAATTTTTCAGATGTTTTTCATGCTGTTCGTTTTATATCTATATTGATGTAAAATGGAAAGTGATTGCGTTTCATGAAATGGCCTTGCTAATAATATGATTCTCTGTGAGAACATGAAAAGAAAATATGCGTCATAACTACACTGTTTTGATATATTGATGCGCTTTAAATAACCTTTAGCGCTAAGCACGCCGCGCATACGCTACTCATTGCTGGGTATACGTTCGATGTTTCTAGCGTGAGCGTATTGAACTTTTTTCAATATTTTGTATACGTTATGCTCACGCTGGTGCTTTACGTTATGGTTTAATTCTTAACATTATCTTTGATTTCGATAGTATTTATAGTGTTTGTTTATATCAGTTTAATGTTCTCTACCTTAACATATATTTTTCTTGTCAATTATGAAAATAAACTCAAACAACTTATATTTGTATACACTTATTGTAATGGATGTTAGCGTGCTGGAGGTCGTGCATATGTCTCAAAATTACAGACATTAAACCTGACACTATCATGGGGTTCTCGCTTGCAAACAAATACGATAGGGAAAGAGTTTCCACTTGGTGCTGAACGTACCATTATATTTTGTGTGAGATGTAGTCATTTGCTCATATATCCATAAGCGTCACAAGATTGCAATTCAATTTTTAATTTTTAATTTTAATTTTTATCAATATCAACACTATTTTTTTCAAAATAATTACATTCACTCAAAGGGACATTAATGTACAAAGGATCATACATTGACAATCTTTCTCTGAATACATGTGAAAAATGTGCTTTCTTGTGGATAGGTAATTACATATGAATTTTTGTTGAATACGGAAAATGGTACACTGTATATTTGAACACTATATTGGTCAATTAAGGAAGGGAGGTAATTCATCTGTTAATATAGGACTATTTCCCTAGTGATAAACTTTTACTGTTATTTGCAACAAACATAGTTAAGTGTTACAGGAATGTATATAACCTTTGTTTTTATGGATTTTTTTATATGTTAATGGTATAGCCTCATAACCAAACAGAGTGTGTTAAAACAGATTTTCGTTTATCATATTTAAACCTGTTGCAACATACCATTGTTTTGTTTTACTTTTTGAGTGTATTCAAACCTGTTGCATATATCAGTGTTTTGTTTTCCTTTAATGAGTGTATTTTAACCTGTTGCAACATATATAGATGATTATAGTAACATTACTATTTAAATGTAGGTACACAATTCAAACCTTTTTCCTTCTTTTAAAAAAAACAGATATCACTTTGTTTTTTGTTTTGTCGTAGGGTATACGAGTGTATGGAAAATGCAGGTAATTGTATCACTACGCGCATGAGAATGACTGTAGTTATCGAGTGATAATGGTAATGACCCCAACAAAGGTTATTGAGTCAATAACACTTAAAACTGTGAATAAAGATATGCAAATTATATTTTGAAAAAATATTTATACATTATTGCAAATAACAAATATGGCCATAGAGTGTGATTTATATGTATATTTTTATTTATATTCATATATTTATATTTATATTTATATATTTTTTTAACAATTAAGAGCAATAATTGGAAACTCAACTCCTCTTTTATTGTTTAGTTGTAATAACAATCAATGGTTTTATGAATGCTATCATCCAGTATTTGAAAACACGGTATAGCTTTATTTTATCAGATTTTAAGGTTACATGATTATGTGATTTATATCCAACGTTATTATTTATTATGTCTGCGCATCTTTGCCGTTTTTGAAAAACATATGTCCATGAGGGAAATTTCGCCACAGTTTTTCACTTTCGCCTTCATTAAAGCGAATATTATTAAACAACATCTTGTTCATTAACATTGCAAATATGGATATTAATCGGCAGAGGGCGAAAGTTTAACTGGGCGATTTACATTTTTTGAATTTCTAAAATACATTGTTTTTGCTCTATTTAAACAATCAGTCAATAGGATCAGGAAATACCAGTTAGAACCATGTGTTCCCATCGGCAAACATACAAATCTACATGTAATAAGTATGTATCGCTCTACGGCACTAACACTATATAACACTACGAATATCAGCTACATGTATGAATGTCATGTTTGACGTGTACATGTCAGCATTATTATAACATGCATTGGATACCACGCCCCACCCCTTTATATCTAAGGTGGTAAAAGTTTTGTCCTAGATTCAATATTTAATTACCATAACCCCCATTATTTTGGACACCTCAGATTACGTATCAAATACGAAACATAAACGTAGTGAAAATTGTATTGCATTGCATCTCTTAACTTACACCAGAAGGGTGAGTCGGGTCGGAACAGAATAGAAAGGAAATTTTATGTTGAAAACATATCCTTTTCAGTCAGTTACAGACAGACTTAATTAAATCGGGTGTAAACTTTCTTTTAATTAAATTTCTATAGGTATATATCATATGTCCTACATGTACAAGAAAATGGCCATTTCAATGTGTAAAATATATTCTCCTTGTAAGATTATGTACATGCACACCTGTTGCCCAAATGGTAGCAAAATGGTACCAAATGTGGAAAAAATAATTATAAAACATAATATGAACAATACATCTTTACCAACATAAATGAACAACAATTTACTTAGTGGATTGAAAGTATCTATTTGTCTTTAAAATTATCATAAGAGTACGTAGTTTTGACATGTTATTTATACCTAAACAACTAAAATCTTTATTGTTCTATCAATGCATTGATTATATCTAAAATCATTATTCTAGTATTAAGGATATAAGGACAACTGCCAAAAATAATAAAGAAGAAATGACACAAAATGAAAATATAATGCTACGGGACAACCACCGCATTCGAACCCGCTTCCTCGATACTCCAGGGGTTACGCTCACTTACGCTCTATACAACCCTGGAATTTGTCATAGAAAAAAAACAAAGGTTTAGTGTGCAACCCTGGTTGATGAGGCTTTAAGACTTGTTCGATCCTTTGATCTATATCAAACGAATATGTCGGTCGTGTAACGGTAAAATGGACTGAATTTGAAGTCGCTCCTCTGTAATCTTCGAAAAGATTTTTTTACCCGATACCAGTCAAATTGCCTTCATTTTGCTATGATATGTTACAGCGAAAGTGAGCGTAACTCCGGAAGTAGCAAAGATGAACCCTTGACCCCCAATAACAATATGAAAGCTCTCACTAAACCAGTTCGGTCTTTGGTCCTGTCCAACTACGGTTATATTTAAATTAGAATTTAGATGAGATAGTTGTACATGAGAAGACGCAGGGGGATTCTTTCATTGTTTTGCTTGCAATGTGTCAGATATCCTTAATTATACACTTAAAATTCGAAAATGAAACGTGTATTGTTTCAGTACGAATGTAAAAGGCCTTAGGAATATTTTTGTTCTATTAACTAATTTATATATTTAACGTGAATCATATTTTAAAGTATAGTAGCACAAGTAATGCATATTATGTGCATTCATAATATATCGATATATTTTATAAAAAATGTTCTGTTTAGAATTGCCATGTACAATAAAATAATAAATATTTTCTGTAGTTACTTGTCATTTGTTGTTGACTGTCGAGTACGTTTTCTTTGTCATGCATGATTACGTGCGCTAATTATAGATTTAAAAATGCGAATCGTATCAACATGTTTATTTAACCGTTTAAACTTAAATTCGATTAAAATTATATGTATTTTTTTAATGATTTAGGTCCCGCAGACTCAGAACAGCTATAGTTATTTGAGGAGTGTGCCTACTACATAAGGGTCATTCTAATAAGTCATCTCAGTAATATATTATATCATTGATACGGTGACATACTACTCATCCCAATCATATTATTTTGACAATGGAATAACTAGATGTGCTGAGGGATACACCACCGAAATAGTGGAGAAAGTGAGAGAAGAAATCTAAAGATCTTTGTTTGTAACAGATTTGTTTTGATTTTTCCAATGTTCATAAGGTAGAAGATAGAGAAAAACAGGACAAATAAAGGAAACAGATTCTGCAGAGTGACCCCGATATTTGAATCATAATGGTTATTGCGTGTATTTGTAGTAATTGACATCGATGTTTTTTTTCTATTTCAATAAACCTCTGTCGTTTTCTGTAGCGGTCACTGTGTATTTACATCATTGATACCGGATGAATCTTAAAAACACTCTTTCCCTTCTCCTTCCTATCCGATCCTCCTTTTTCCCCCATTTTTACTCATATACACAACACACTGCTGCATATTTATTTATCAAATAGTAGGCTAGATACATCTCAGCTACAAAGAGTGATTTTCTACTTTCTTCAACTGGAGATGGAATTATCAAACTTGCAAATTTCAAAAATCCAATTTCAACAATAATTTTTTGCATTATATTTGTTAACGCAAAAAGAAATGAAGTGGATTTTATTTACAACTGTTTTAACAAATATATAATAGAAATGAAAAATAAAAATATTATCTATGGTATCAATTAATTTGTTTTGACATGAAATGAAACTTTATTTTAATATATAAAATCAGCGTTCATATATTTATTTAAATAATGTAATTATATTCGCCATTATTGTTCATTCGCAGTAATTTACAGTGAATAGGTATCAAAATGCTTAACATTTACAGATTGAATCCTGTGCGCTGTTTAGATTAATAAGGTTTAATAACCAAGATGTTTTGAAACAAATTGTAAAATAGTGAAATACTATGGTGTTTCCTACAATGGGACAGGGGTACTTAAAACAAGACGTTTACCAAGACGGTGACCACCAGTGGGACAGTTATCCTTAAAATAAGAAGTTTAACCCAGACGGTGACTACTAGTGGGACAGCGAACATTAAAACAAGAGGTTTAACCTAGACAGTGACCACCAGTAGGGCAGCGATCCTTAAAACAATATGTGTAACCCAGACGGTGACCACTACTGGGGCAGCGATCCTTAAAACAAGAAGTTTAACCCAGACGGTGACCACCAGTGAGACAGCGATTCTTAAACAAAAAGTTTAACCCAGACGGTGACCACCAGTGGGACAGCGATTCTTAAACAAGAAGTTTGACCCAGACGGTGACCACCAGTGGGGCAACGAACCTTAAAACAAGAGGTTTAACCCAGATGGTGACCACCAGTGGGACAGCGATCTTTAAAACATGAAGTTTAAACCGGACGGGACCACCAGCAGGACAGGGATCATTAAAAGAAGACGTTTAACCAAGACGGTGACCACCAGTGGGGCAACGAACCTTAAAAGAAGAGGTTTAACCCAGATGTTGACCACCAGTGGGACAGGGAACCTTAAAAGCAGAGGTTTAACCAAGACGGTGACCACCAGTGGCACAGCGATCCTTGAAACAAAAAGTTCAACCCACACGGTGACCACCAGTGGGAAAGGGATAATTAAAACAAAACAGATAACTCAGGCGATTTATGTAACCTCGATTTTTATGCCAGGTCCCCGCCAATCTGTGGTTTAAAAACAACAACAGCCAGATGTACGACTTAAATATTTTATTTATGAGACATACAAATATTCTTTTACAATTGACAGCAGCTTACAAAGATATTTGGTTTTTTTTAATCTTTATATTTACCGAAGATGAGACCTTTCATGCATGTGACGTCCATCGTAGGAAACATACCATGAATACGTCGTACAACCGCTTCCTTGGTAGTGATGTACACCGCCTTCGTAACTATGTTGAATGCCTAATTAGCGTTGTACATTGCCTCAAATATCAGTTAATTGATAACCCAGCGTTATAATAAAGTTTAAATACTTAATGCAGAGGCTCTAGAAAACAATCAGACCACTAGATCTTCATGTAAATTTTACCAACAAGCTAAACCATTAATTACGATGGTCGATATTGTGAAATAGTTATCGTTAACGTCACACGTTACGATGCATTTTGAAAAATCATAATAATTTAAAATTTGAATAGTTGATAATAAAACAAATAATAAATTAATAATTACAATAAATAAACTCCACCGAATTCCGGAATATTAAATTGCAAAGCAAACACTTTATCGACGCTGCAATCCGGAAATTAAAATTATCTACAGCAACAAATAGAGTGAATTTGTATGTAGCCTATGGGACACAAAAGAAAAGAAAAATAACTTGACAGGGGAATTAACTCTGAAATATTAGATAAAAAATGTTTGACTCCCTGCGAATCTTTTCATGAGAGTAGTCAACAAAACAATGAGTTGAACGCATCTTCGCAATTATACAGGTAACCTCAATATCATTATAAATATATATATTTACTTTTTTATATAATTATAAAACATGTTTTAAAACTTATATTGATCACTCTTGTTGGCCCGGTTGTAAGCGACATTGAATACTCAACAGTAAACGATCGAGATGCGTAAAGCTGACTAATACACTCAAGCTAACCGTTTCTATAATATAAGAGTCTACACACGAAATTCAAAACTTACTTAATCAACCTTTATACCCCTGAACCGTGTACGACGCTTACGCATGGTTTC